GTGCGTGCGTGCCCAAGATCCCGAGAGGAGAATGGAGGAGAAAGGATTGCGGCGTGACCATCCCCCCTGGGGGGTGATTTCTCGCTTTCTGTCTCTCTGTCTCTTTCTGGCAAGCGCACGTGCCCTATAGCAAAAACCTCTCTAAAAACCCAAAAAAACAAAGAACAAAAAATCCTGGGGTCTTACGAGACCTGATGGGACATGACGGAGCTCTTCTCTCCCTCTTCCCTCCCGGACAGTTGCAGAGTGCCACCAGATGAACGACCACCAAAGCCAGGTTAAGTTTAAGGGGGTCTTTCTGAGCTGGCCAGTGAGCACAGGCCGAGGCGGGGGCAGCCCTGCACAGGGGCGCCCTACCCCAGCACCCTGACCTTGTTGCTGCTTGAACCCAGACCCTGACCCGCCTCAGGGCCTCCTGCTCTTCCCTGGAGAACCTCGTGGCTCGCTCCCTTGCCTCTCTCAGGTGTCTCTGGACTGTCACGTTCTCAGAGAGGCCTGACGGCCCTCCTGTTTACAGCGGTGGCATCTGGACTGGCTCCCTGTCGCCTCTGCCTCCCCTCCCTGTGCATTTCCCTGCGCCCCGAGCTGCTGTGCGGATCACTCTCTCCTCCGGAACGTAAGCCTCACAAGGGCAACGGCCTATGTGCCCAGGCCCTCACTCGCCACGTCACACAGAATTTGGTCCAGTTATGACAAACTCCGGAGTGACGCGTGCACTCAGCTGCTCTGTGTTTGGTGCCTGCGTGTGCATTACAGCTCCGGTGCTTCATCCACACGTGTCGGCTCCGCAGAGCCAGGGAAGGCGCACCCCCCCCCCGCCATGGGTGAGGCTGAATGAACGCAAGGGAAGAGAAACAATTTTTTAAAAATAATTATTTTATTTAACTTTGTTTATTTATTTTAATTTGACCAGAGAGAAACAGTGAGAGAGAGAGAGAAAGTTGCCAGGTCCAGGACTTGGACTGCCGTTGGCCATGCGGGAGTCCAACGCCTTAACTACCACGCCACCTGCTGGCTCCGAAAGAGACAATGAATGGTTTGGTGTGATGGCAGAGGGCACAGCAGGTGTGAGAATCCTGGCTTTGCCACTTAATCACGTCCGCGGTACTTATTGTGTGCGTCTGTCTTCTGAGTATAAGTGTGTGTGTGCACGCGTGCGCGATCCTCCAGCAGCCTATGCAGTGGTCCTGTTACCCCCCCCCCATTTTACAGATGAGAAGCCGAGGCACATCTGAGCTAAGAGATTGGTCTCTGTGGAGGCCGTGGTCTCTGCTCCTGTGGCTGACACGTGGAGGCCATGGTCTCTGCTCTCGTAGCTGACACGTAGAGGTCGTGGTCTCTGCTCCCGTGGCTGACATGTGGAGGCCGGGGGCTCTGT